GTGAAAGCACCCTTTAATTGGCCACAGGACTTTTAAGCATAGGCTTAAGCAGAGATAAATGGTTACTGATTACACAGAGGCAGTGTCTATGTAGTTTACACTGGCCTTGAACTCACTGTGTAGCCCAGGCTGGTCTGGATCTCTTTGCAATCATGTGGCCTCAGCTTCCTAAGTGCTGGAATTACAGCTGTGCCTTACCATCCCCAGGTAGTATCACCTCTTATCTTTGTCCTAATAGAAGTTTAGACCTCGGGCCTGACAGTGCTGACTCCATTTATTAAATATGCGTTTAGGAATATGCATAAGTATAACACTTGAATATTTACTGGTTGCACAGTGTTTGCTGGGTTGATGCGTGTGATAGCTTTTAGTGTTTAAAAATGAAATACGTTTTCTGTATGGGAGGGATAATACTTTTTCACGATGGAAGAAAAATACCACATGTAATTTAGTTGTGTAAAACAAAGTCAAAGTTATAGATTTGAGAGCAATTGAAGAAAGATAGTATAAAATTATAGGATTATTGGTTGGTTGGTTTTTCCTTTTTTGGAGCCATAATCAGACAGGGCTACAGCTTTATTTTTTCAATCAGATTTCATTGGTTCATTTTAGATATGCATAGTAATTTCACTCATCATAGGATTTGTACCTGTGCAGGATATAATTTGATTGTTTTGTTCTCCATCGCCTACCCTCCCTTCAACCCCTGCTTTTTTATTTATTTATTTTGAGACAGGATCTCACTTCAGGCTGACCAGCTCCCACCTTGGTCTCCCAAGTGCTGGGATCGCAAGCATGTGGCACCACACCTGGCTTCTTTGTTTTTATTTTTTCAGTTCTGGCAGTCCAACCCAGGGACACTCTACCACTGAGCTACATCCCTCAGCCCTTTTTTGTTTTTGAAACAGAGTCTTCATTAAGTTGCCCAGTCTGGTGGCCAGGGCTATAGCTCAGCAGTATAAGTGCTTACCTGGCAAGTGCAAGGTCCTAAGTTCGATTTCTGGTACCAAAAATGAAACAAAACAAAAACCAGTTGCTCAGTGTGGTCTCTGATGTTATCCTACCCTGCTACTCAGTCTCCCACATAGCTGGGGTTATAGGTGTGCATGTACACCACCCTGTCTGATCAAGTTTGAGTTTTCTAAAATAATGTGTACCTGTCAGGTTATTAATCCAATTTCAGAACTGTAATGTTGAAAATCTTGTCTTTATGGGTTTCCATTGATCAGCTGGTAACATGCAGTAGTGCTTTCATGTTGCAGGAACTTTGAAACAGTGGGCAACAGCCGAGTTTACCTTTTCGCCTTTCCTTCCTCTGTCTCCTGTGGCCTGTGTGTCTTGGGGCAAGTTCCTGAATCTCTTTGGAGTCCATGGTTTTCAATTTTGTAGACGAGGGGCTGGGTATGGTGACTCAAGCCTGTGATTCCAGAGAGGCCTCTGAGCATCACTGCGAGTTTGAGGCCAGCCTGGGCTACATAGTTCAAGATCAGCCTGAACTACACAGTGAGACACTTTCTCAAAAAATAAAACTGTGGGCATGGAGCCTCTTAACTTACAGTGGAAGGGATCATGTGTAAGCAGCTGATGCACTGAGCTTGTGTTTTGCAGGAGTGCAAACAGGCATAGGTTTAAATGTATCAGGTTTGTGATGCTGATGACCTGTTCAGCACTCTGTTTTCTCTGTGAAATGAGGAGCATTGTTTCAGAGTAGTTATGAGGATAAAATAAGTACATTAATGTGCGTAAAGTATTCCTCATGGCTGGGCCCCAGAAGTCACTTAACCCAGAGTAGTGACCAATGGCAGTTTTTGTTGCTGAGATATAATTTGTTTTTCTGTTAAGTACAGTAGTATGAGGGGAATTTCTATGGTGCATGCACAGTGTGTGCAGTTATAAAATAGCACCTCTGAATTGCTTCTGTGAACCACTCCTTGTAGGAATAATATCTTTTAAGTAGGTCATGAAATGCAGTGTGAAGAGCCAGGGCTGCAGCTCAGCGGCACAGCACTACCTGGCAAGCACCAGGTCCTGAGTTCATTCCTGGTACCAAAAAAAAAAAATATGTTTTTTTTCCTTTAAAAAGATACAGTGGGAAGAATTTAGGAGTTGCAATTAAGAGATTTTGGTTTTCAGTTCTTGTTTTTCTTTTTTGGAATGTAAATGCATCAATATTTTATTTTATTTTTTGGTGTCAGAGATCAAGCATAAGCATGACCTCATGCTTGCCAGGCAGGCATTTATGCCAAATTCCTGGCCCTACATCAATATTTAAAGTACTTAATTTCTCAAATCTCATTTTTTAATGAAGGGGTAGCAGATGCTATGGAAATTAGTGCAGGTAAACCCAGTGTGTGAGGAAGGCCAGTGTATAATCTTCATTTATACTAGGTACACATCTCAATTAGATAGGTTATGTAGTTGTGAACATATTTTGCTTATGTGGATTTCATGGACTGTTGTCTTTGTGGATTAGGAGAAAATGTCCTGCATAAGGTGTGTCTTTCACACATGTAAATTTCCCTCCAGTTTCAGTGCACAGCATTGAGATGGAGCTTTGGAGGTCAGGTGTGAGCCGACCCACTGTCTGATCAGGGAAGTAAGTTGCAAAGACAACTCCAGTTGGACATAGCACTGCCCCAGTTCTTACTGTGGGTTTGCTAGTTGGGGCATACTGTTTCACCTCTATGCGTATTATGTATGCTGTAAAATTGTGTTAGCCTGCCCCATCTACTACTGGTTGATGAAAACAATTGTGTGTTTTTTTAAAAAAGTGCTTTTCAAGTTATAAAGCAGTTCTTAATTATAAGTAGTGAACTTAGCCTCTGAAAATGGTGCGAAGGAGCTCTCCCCAAACTCCTCTATAGGTGATTATTGGCATGTTTGTCGGCAGAAGAGCTCAAGAGTTTTTAAAAAACTTTATTTCTTCCAAAAGGTAAATACATCTTTAAGATTTTAGAAATGTTGAACTTTTTTCTGTAATGTGAGGAAAGAATTTAATGAGCTCTTTTTCCTCCAGTATACTTTCTCAGGAAAGGGACATCTATCCATTCCCTTCTTCCCCTTCCTTTTCCCTATCTTTCTCTCCCCCTTTCCCTCCTTTCTGCCCTCATAGTAGTTTCCTGTTTTACACTAAGGGACAAATAATCAAGTAGACTTTTGTTGCGCAAAATTCTCATTTGCACATTGGACTTGATGATAAAGAGAATGACAGTAATTGTAAAATTTGAGCGTGGTACACTAAAGTTTACATTTTTCCCTAAAATGTGAATGCAACATTCTTAGTTGGAAGTTCATGCTACCCAAGGCTGCGCACATCATTTCTCAGGATCCTCTCCAACCAGCAGGTGCTCCAAGGTTATGGAGGACTCTTCCTGTTTTGTGCCTCACGCACCTGGAAGCACGATGGCTCTGGTTTCCCTTCTGTCTCAGAGCCGGAAGTGCTGTGACCTGGGAGTAGGTGAGAGGGCCTGAGGAGGAACCTAGGGAAGGGCAGCAGGGGTTCTCTTCACTTCATTTCCTAAAGGTTTAGCCCAGCAACTACACCCCGTCCTAGGGGCTCACTGAAGGTCGGCCTGGGTAGAAACTCGTCAGTTGGTTAGCTGACCTCGGGAAAGAACACTGATTCATGTTTCAAAGAAATGAGAAAGTCCTTTTAAAAACATTTCAAATAGCTTTTCATTAGCTGTGCTGTTTTGCAGCGTTTCTGCTACTTTTACAGGAGTGCTTGTTTTTTTACATTGCTGGGTTGAGACCCACGGGCTTGTTTGTGCATGCTGGGCAAACTTTCCCACTGAACCATGTCACATAAACATCCCCACTCCATGTTACAGATTCTTGAATAGCTTCTGGAAGGCTAGGTTGAAGAACAAAGCTTTTTAGCATTGGCTCTGGATAAACCTATAAAATGTGAGTAGCTTTCTTTCTGAGACAGGGTCTCACTTTGAGTCCAGGCTAGCCTTGAAGTCAGTTTGTAGCCCAGGCTGGTCTCCAGCTCAGACTGTGGAGCTCAGGCCATCTTCCTGCCTCAGCCTCCTGAGTGCTGGGGTTATAGGTGTGCACGACCATGCCTGGCTACTAATGGCATTTTTAAGATTATGCCAATTTGAAAAGTTTTGAAGATGAATGTTAAGTCCATCTGGAAGATGTTAAGAGTTTTCTTTTGTTTCTTTTTTGAGGATGCATAGAAAGATAAAATTACACTGGCAGAGAAAGTAGAGAGTGAGTCCTCAGGTTTTAATTCTAAAGTAATTTCAGCTTCCTTGAGTCAGCTAAATCTGTCATGCTAAGAAGACAGCACTGCTTATACAGAGCTGGAGGATGGAAGATTACTGTAAAAGCATGCCTGTCATCCTAGCACTCTGAGGAGAGAACTGCAGATTGGGGCTTAGTCCAGGCAGTTTAGTGAGTTAGTGAGAGCCTGTCTCAAACAAATTTAGAAGAAAATGTAGGAATGTAGCTCAGTGTGAAGGACCTTGGTTCTGTTCCCAGGAATGCAGGGAAAACAAAAAGTAGTCAATGTACTTGAGAACTAGCTTCTCCACTCTGGGAGGTGAGGAGGCCAGGAAGCAGCACAGGGCCATGTGGGACCAGCGGGCTGAGGCCTGGGGGATGAGAGGAACTCACTGGGAGCCTGCAGGGCTTCGAGGCTGCCACCTGAGCTCTGTGGCTGGTGGGGGGCACCTTGCACCTCTGGAGGTGCTACTGTTTGTGGGAGAATGCAGACAGATTGGAGCAGTGTGACAAGACGTGCCATGCCTTAAGCAGTGGAGTAGATGGGTCCATGGGTCAGTGCCTTGACATTGGTCCCCAAGAGACGGTATGACATGGTTTGCAGAGCTGTTCCTTTGTGCCTGCAGCTGTGGCCAGGTGGTTACAAGCAGTTGGCATTAGCTTTGGCGGATGATCTGGGAGTAGTGGGATATTGTAGAGTAAACTTGGAATGCTTTTTGCTCTGAAAGTGTTCAAATATTGGTTGTTAGCCTATTTTCCTTCTTTCACAGGTAAAAAACAAGAAGCAGATGAGTTGAGTGGAGACGCTTCTGTGGAAGATGATGCTTTTGTCAAGGTACAGTGTTAATTATTCCGGTTAAGGTGTTGGAGTCCACTATTCTGCACTGCTGAGTTCTCGCATTTAACTCGAATACATTGAAATCTGTAAGTTAAATACTAGAGACAGCATGCGATCAACTTTATTAACTTCCATTGCGAGAAATGTAATAAATGACTTTTTCTTCAGTTAGATGAGACAAAAAGATAAAAATAACCTGGCTAGGCCTTAAACCTGAGACATACAGTCTGGGGGAGCAGCTGCAGATAGTGCAGTTACTGGGCAGGGTGCTATCATGAAAAATACTGGGTTCCACTTTTGTGTACAATACACAAGATTCAAGTCAGTGTGAGACCTTAAAATGGAAAAAGAAAATTATTATTGTTTGTTTAATGATCAAAGTAAAAAACTTATTTTGCTTTTAAAGATAACTAAACCCTCCAGGCTTGGTAGTACATGCCTGCAATTCCAGCCCTTGGGAGGCTGAGGCAGGAAGATAGCGTGAGTTTGAGGCCAGCCTGGAGTACATAGCCAGACTGTTTCATGAAATCAAAAAAGATAGCTCTGCCAGAATTTTTGTGTGTGTGTACTGAAAGGAAGTAAAGCAGAAATGACCAGCCAGAAAGAGAAAGCATGTACTATTAATTGGGCCTGTGGCAGGCAGGCCTGTGCTGGGAGGTGTGGATGAGTTAGGGTTCATTATAGTTGGTTTTTATTTTAGTGAAAATCGTCAGTGAGCTGCCAGTGGTTACGAGTCCTGCCCTATGGTAGTGCAGGTGTCCTCCATGTGGTGTTCTCTGTACCCTTGGTATATGTGTCACAGCACCTGCCTGCGTGCCTGTGTGCTCCACCAGAACAGTGCACATCCGCCTCTTTGCTCCTCTCTAGCTCTGAAAGCCTGCCCCTGCGCCACCTCACAAAGCCCTAGCATGGCGACCTTTACCTTTGGGGCCAGGCATGGCGAAAAAGGAGCATTTGGTTAAGGAGCCAGGTTTGAGAGCAGATAATTTTAGGAAGATTTGCCCAGAGAGCCATGAAAATTAATGATTATGTGCCTGATGAGCCTCGGTTGGCCTTTTCTAGCTCTGCCAGTGTGGCTTGGGGTTCCCCTGGGTGTATCTTGCCTTAGAGCTGCTCCTCCCTTCTTTGTCTTCATTAGGAAGTGTGTGTGTGAGCAGCAGTTACCCATGAGTTGGAAAAACATTGTGACTTTGTAAAAAACATCTTACAATATTCAAGGTCTTTGAGTTTCTCACTTCCTAGGGATGGTGATCATTGTAAATGTTACCAGGAGACTGACAGACTGTGCAGAGGTATCATTCCTGTCTCAAAGGGTGTTTTTGTGTTGTGAGCAAACAAATCTGGTCATGATGCCTAGGAAAACAGAGAGCTAAAGAACTTCTAAAAACATTCACTTGACTATATCTTTGGTGTATTTTTACTGCGGAAGTATCAGCATATGTATTTGATAGAAATTAAGTGAATTTATTTCCCTTTTCTAATTTTGGGATTTATTCGGTAGTGAAGGTTGCATTATCTGCTGATGTATTTGAGTAGCATAGAAGTTGTTTCTGCAGATGAGGGAGGAGATAACTGCATGGTGGCTCAGAGCAGCTGAAGGTCCCTGGTGCTGCTCTTCCATCCATTCTGCTGCTGCTCTTACCCCTGTGGGTGTGGACGCGGGGACAGCCAACCCCAGTGCCTGACTCCTCGGGCCACACCTGAAGCAGCCACAGGCCTCACCTCCCTCTCTAGAGGGGCCTGCCCTCTGCAGTGTGCTGTCAGGTTATGAGTCCTGCCCCTGTACTGTGCCCTCACTAATCCAGAAACGTTTTCTTAAAACTGAAGGGGCCTAGGTTTTCTGTGAGAACAGTCAGGAAAGCGGGAACTAAGCAGATTGCTGTTTGTGTTTGCATTGAGGTCTCATATATATTCCCAAGCTTAGGAGGGCATCCTGAGCGACCTTTGCAGAGGTAGTCCCGACCTGTGTTCCCTGTCTTCTTTGGCATGGTGGCATAGTGACCAGTTTTAAAACAAACACATTTAAATTAGTATTTGTATATTTTCAAGAACATTGATGAAGCTGTTGGGAATTCTTTATAATTAGAAGTAAGTTTTATGTTTTAATATATAAGACTTCTAGGGATTTTAAAGTTAAACTATGGTGCTTGAAGAAATAAAACTGTTATCCCCGAGTTGGTTTCTTCTAGATAGCTCCTAAAAATACCAGTAAATATCAGCTGACTTAAATAGAGGCTTTGACAGCAGCAGCTCAGTTAGTGTGCATTTTAGTGCGAGAGACTGGAGGCTTCAGACTCAGACTTGGTAACTGGTGTTAAACTTTCTGTGTTTAAAGACACAATTAATAGGTAAGGTAAAGTGATTTAACTTTAAATTGGGGTATGTCAAGATATGATCAAATTTGATACTTTTAGAGATGTAAGTTACTAAAATATTTGGTGGATAGCCTACACTATTTTGCCTCGAGTTGTACCAAATTTTCTTGCTATTAAAAGGACTGTGAGTTGGAGAATCAAGAGGCACATGAGCAAGATGAAAGTGACGAAATAAAGGATTCTGAAGAATTTGGTGAAAATGAAGAAGAAAATGTGCATTCCAAGGAATTACTTTCCGCTGAAGAGAACAAGAGAACTCATGAATTAATAGAGACAGAAGCAATAGAAGATATAGAAAAAGAGGACATCGAAAGTCAGGTCTTTAGCCAGTTTTGTTAAAACATGACACAGATAAATTAAGCTTTAAATTTTAAAAAGTATTTTTTCTAGTTCAATTTGGAGGCCTTGGAACTTTTTAGAAAAATTTTTAAGTTGCTTTAAAAATTACTCAGAACTCTTACATCTAAGGTGACCTTTTAAAAGTTTTGCATATTTCATATATGTATACATTTTTATAGTAGCTATACCAGAAGTTCTGCTATTCTGTGTTCTGCTTTTTGTGTATCTACACTGCTGTGGTTTTGAGTAGTTAGGTTTTTTCCGTGTTACCAATGAGTGTACCAATCTCATTCTGCTCTTGCCAGCAGCATTATTTGGTGGCAGGCCCTCTTTTGCTATTTTAGAAAGTATAAAAAGCCACTTTAATCTGCTTTTCTAAGTTCATTATCAAGGCTGGGAAATTGCTTATGAAGGTTTAATTTTAAAGCAGTTAGTTAAATCTGCTCTTTGAAGTAGACCATTTGTTCTGCTTTGAAATATGTTAGCACATCTTAACAAAGCTAAAGGATTAGGAGGTCAGTGCTGTTTGGACATCACTTTCCTTGTCTACCTAGCCTAATGATTGAGAGCCTCCAGGTTTTTCTAATTTTTTACGTTGGCCTAAAAAATTAATAGGCCAAATTCTTGAGCATTGATTTAGTCCCTGCAGAATCAGAATATGAAGCAGATGATAATCAGGTATAAGCATAAAAGCATTGTCACGTTTCCCAGATATTTTGTAAAGCAAAGCTATTGTATACCCTTTTACTTAGGAAATTGAAGCTCCAGAAGGTGAAGATGATACCTATCTAACGGCCCAAGTAAGTTTCCATTTAGTCCTCCAAGTTTGATGTGGGTGGAAGGGGTCACCTAGAGAAGGGATCTTATTTTAACTTTGTGATTGTGATTTCATAAAACAGCCTTAAGTTCAGTACTGAGTTACTTTTGTGGTATATGCAGATATTTAAACTATTGGCAGCTGAAATTTCTTTTGCAAGAAAGGTAATTGGGAATTAACAAGGTTCCTGTCATTTTCAAGACTGAGTATCTGGAGGCCAGGGATTTAGCTCAGTGACATAAGTACCAGCCTGGCAAGTGCAAGGTCATGAGTTCATCCCTGGTATCAAAAAAAAAAAAAAAAAAAGACTGAGCATCTGTCTTTCTCTAGTGTTATAATTGCTCTGCTATCTTGGTACTATATAATATAGATAAGCATTAGCTGTTTACAAAACTTTATTTATTTGGTTTTCTTTTTTTTCTTCTTCCCAAGACAGGATGTCACTTATAAGTTCATGCTGGCCTTAAACTCATAGTGGTCCTCCTGCCTCAGCCTCCTAAATCCTGGGGTTACAGGCGTGTGCCAACTTGCCCTGCGATTGCTGTTAATTTTCACATTACTAGGCTAAGTTTAGAGTAAAAGTAATTGGCTGCGCTACAGTCTGATACAGTTTATTTGATATTCATGATATTGATGATATTCAGAATATTCATGATATTCCTAATGAATACTTTAAAAACATTTACAAATGTTGAAAACAGATACTTAAAACTCAAATTGGTGGAGTTTTTGTTGTTTGAGACGGGGTCTCGCTCTGAGACGCTGGCCTCTGACTCCTGCTTCAACCTGGCAAGTGCTGGGCTTGCAGGTGTGAGCCATGTGCACAGTATCAAATCTTAAGTTTTAAAAATTGTCGTTCCCCCTCTTCTTTCTGTTTTCAAGATCCCCTGTTCACATGCCCTCTTTAAATGCTGTACTTTGAAGTTGAAGTTCTCTAGTTCTCTACCTGAGTGGAACTAGTGACTGCGCCATGTTGCTGCACGGAGTGTGTGTGGGGAGAGCCTCCGAAGGGCGCGGGCACAGCCTGCTGCCTTGGCTGCTCCAGCCCGCTGGTTACTTCGCACTCTCCTGGCTTTGCTGACCAGCTGGGGTCCCTGGGCAGCCTTCCCTTTTGGTCTTGGGAGTGGAGACATGACATTTCTAGAAGCAGTGTTTCTAAGTCCTGTCAAGGACCGGCCCACCCCATGAAGGTCATGAGCTGTGTGTGACCACCTCTTACCTGTTTTTTAAATGGATTGGAATAAAATATCTTAAGGAATGCGTGCCTTTCAATAATATGACCTTTTTCTTTTGTAAAAAACGTATAGTGGAAACAAATGTATCTATGATTCTACCAGTAATCTTACACTTTTTTGTTCTGTTCTGTTTTTTGAGACAGAGTGTCCCTATGTGATTGAGGCTGGTTTTGAACTTGTGGCAGTCTTCCTGCCTGAGCCTCCTGGGTGCTGTGACTGTAGGCAGGTCCCACCATGCCTGGTCTGAGGCTTCCCAGCATACTTCCTGAGTGGATTACTGTGTGCCTGAGGGATGCCACGCACGTGTAACCGTGGCCCAGGTCTGCCTAGCACCAGCCTAAAGCCAGTCTGTGACCTCTAGTCCTTTCTTCTGTTGCTCCTTTCCAAAATTTTTGAAGCAATTTCATGTATACGTCCTTCCCTTTAAAAATTAAAGAGTATATCTCTTAAGAGAGAAGTTGAGTTTTTTGAGTTATTATTCCTAATATAAATACGTTAATATCATTGGATGTACAGTTGGTGTTTAAAAGTTCAATTAGCTATGGTATATTGTTGTTGTTGTTGCTGCTGCTGCTTTTGAGACAGTCTCACTCTCACTACGTAGGCTGCCTTGAACTCACTACGTAGCCCAGACTGGCCTGGAACTCATGGTGCCTCTTGCCTCAGCCTTCCAAGTGCTGAGATTACAGATGTGCACCCAGCTGGTTAGTTTTTTCTTTATAAGTCTTACTTGAACCAGTTATAATGTATATATTTTGATTGACTAAAATGTTTATTAGGTTTCTTTTTAATCCATAGGTTTTCTTCTCCAGTGTATTTTCTCTCTCTGTTAATTGTTAATCCTGTAGAGCAGAGGTTGGCAAAGTTTTTCTGAAGGGGCCAGAGAGTAAATGCTTCAACCTTTGTGGGCCATCTGGTCTTTGTCACAGCTACTCTGCTCTGCCACTTCAGTGTGAAAGCAGCCATTGACTGCGTAAGCAAATGGGCATGGCTGTGTTCCAGGAAAAATATTTCTAAAAGCAGACATTTGGTGTAGTTTGCCAACCCCTGCTGTAGTTTTAGAAATCAAGAGTTCCCCGATCGCATTCCTGTTGTGTCTTCAGTACGTTCCTCTGTGTACTGCAGGACCCCGGCTTGCGGTCAGACCCGGAACTGTGGCCCACACTCCTGGGACACACAGCCCCTCTGTTCCAGAGTTGGGTCCTTCCAGTGGATGCTTGATCCCTGGTGCTGTGAGGGTGCATGGGTGGCCGTGGCGAGCAGAGGGTAACACTCAGATCCATCGCTTCTTTCTCCATTAGCGGGAATGTTTCTAGGAGAAAAGGCCCCCATCTCTGGCTACCCACTAGTATTGTTTATAAAGCAAAGCCAAAGCTAGGCACGGTGACACAGGCCTACAATCCCAGCCCTAGGGAGGCTGAGGCAGGGGGATTGTGAGTTTGAGGACATCTTGGACTACATAGTGAGAATCTTGTCTTAAAACAAAAACCACAAAGTAAAGTAAGAATGTATGTGTGATTCTTTTCTTTAATGTCAAATTTTCATGAGTTGGTTTATTAGCATTTCTAAAAGTAATCATTGAGGTTTCTTTCTTTTTTGTTTGTTTTATTTTGTAGCCCATGCTGGTCTGCAATTTGCAGTGATCCTCCTGCCTCAGCCTCTTCAGTGCTGGGATTACAGGAATGCGCCTCTGTGCCCAGCTCTATATATTCTTAGTTTTTATATAAAATCAACTGTTAGCCAGGTGTGGTGGTGCACCACGGAGGCTGAGGCAGAAGGATTTTTGCTTTGAGTCCAAGGCTGCCCTGAGCTACACAGTAGGACTCTGTGTCGAAGAAAAACAAAAACAAAAAAACTGCATTTCTTTCTTTATTTCTTTTTTTTTTTTTTTTGTCTTTTTCCTTTTTATCGGTACCAGGGATTGAACTCTCAACTGCCTGCTTGTAAGACAGGCGCTTATGCTGCTGAGTTAAATCCCCAGCCCCAAAGAACTGCATTTCTTAGTTATGTGGGTGCTTCTGAGTTAACGATGTCCTTCCCTCACATGTATCTCCAGGTCCCGTGGTCTTCGGATGGCACTACTTGCCAGCATGATTACTGAAAATAACTTAGGACTTTCTCGCTCCAGGTGTATTTGTCATGAGGGTGTGCCCCACTGAGGACAATAGATTGCTGCAAAAACTACAGTATTTTCCTTTTATTTTGGAGTATTAGTGACCACGGAGGTTTAGCTGTGTGCTGTGCCATCAAGCTGTGTCCCCACCCTCTTGTAGGCAGCTCTGCTCTATGTGATGGCATCCCTGTTACTTAGCTTGATTTGTTCATTTTATTTTTATTTGGATTTTTTGGTTCATTTATTTTTAGCACTTTAATATTGTTTTAAAATATTTAATCTGCAACATGTAGACTTGTAATTATTTCAAAGTAAATGTTAGCAATTTTATCCTAATTTTATAAATATTTAAAGTATTTGCCTGATTCCAAAGTCAAAACTGTATGACATGATATGTCTGCGTTTCCTTCATCCAGTTTCCTGCCATCCCTTTATTAATCACTTTTTTCAAAAGTGTGATTTATTCTTCAGGCTTTCATGCTAGGCAGTGCATTACAGTAGGTAGAACTTGATTCAGATTCTGTTAATAATTATAGTACTGTGTCTTGGGCAGGTTTTCTTAGTTTTTATGTCTGTAAAACAATAATTATGTCTTACTTTGCTAGACTGTATAAGATTAATCTCATATCCTGGAATAAAGAACATGCGCAATTACTATTTATAAGTTTTGAAGATACCAGTTACTTGAATTTTTGAACATTTTTTTCTCTAAAATGTTGTTTTTAAGTGCTTTAATTCTTCAGAATTTCCCTTGATTTTTCAAGAACTTCTTCAGACTTCTGTGGTCACATCATATGTATTCCTTTTTGTATGTACTGTTGTCCCCAGTGTCTCATTAACTTCAAGACTGGCCTTGTTCTCACTGGCCTGGACTTCACTGTCTAGTCCTGAGCAGCACTGAACTTGCTGTCTTCCTGCATCAGCTTCCCCAGCACTGGGATCATTGGTGTGCGCCCAGCTGAGCTGTGTGTACCAGCAGAAGCAGCTTTGTTTCTGTGTCCTTCAGAAATCCTTCCTGCTTCCACGCTGTAGAGGACCGTTCTGGTCACAGAGGACGTCTCCCACCATCACCTTTTTAATCCTTTGATGTCACATGGCATCTTTATTTCATCAGTGAAGTTTGTGTAAAGGGCAGCAAACCATACAGCTGAGGCAGCAGACTTTCAGACCAGCACCAGACTCCACCGCAGCGCACTTGCCGACTGCACAGTGCCAGCACTGCAGTGAAAGCGAAATGCTGAAGGTGTGGTTTATAGAAAACAACCCAGACAGTCACATGTTTTGTCTTAAAAGAAAACCAGCATCCATGCTGTAGGTTCACCGGCACTGCCCTAAAGTGACACTGTGTCTCTGAGAGACAGGGAACACGCAGGCCCACAGGGCCGCAGCGGCTGCTCTCCTGTCTAACCCCTGAGAGGAGATGCTGCCTGAGTTCTTTTGTGCTTACACAGTGCTGAAGTTGAGCCTTCAAAAATACCAGTGCCTTCCGCTACATTTATTGAGTGAACTTGTCTCAGTAGGTATTTATTGTGCTTATTATGTGCCTCATGTTTTGTATTTCTCCCAGTGTTTATAGCATATTGCCAGGTAAAAGGCAGTTGCAGTTACTTTATAGGTTGACTCAGTCGGCCCAAA